TCCTTCCATCCCCCTCCCCTCCTCTTCCCCTTCCCCCTCCTCTTCTTCATTCTCCTCCTCCTCCCCTCCCCTCTCTCCCTCTCTCTCTCCCTCTGTCTCTCCGTCTGTCTTTCCCCCTGTCTCTGTCTCCAGCTAGAATGTCAGCTCCATGGTCCTCAACCTGGAACCCTCTCTGTCTGGTCCACTGTCGCCTGGCCTTTGGCCTGTGCTCATAGCAGCTCATTGAATGAGTTGTGAAATAAAACGTCTGTTCCTGGGTCACATTAGGGGGAGGCTAGGTTTTCATCGCTGGGGAATTTTTGATGGTCTGTTTTTTGGAAGCTTTGGGGTAAATGAGAAGAGTTTTAACGGGGCAGGATTAAGACCGCAGAAGAGCCCTGCTAGCCAGGGTCTCTGCCCAGTCCCACGTTGTGGCTCTGAGTGGAAATCATAATCAGTCAACACTTATTGTTCGGATTCACTGTTTGGCCCAAAGCACTGACCTGGGTAACTAACCCCTGGGATGAAGTTATACAAGAAACAGTGCCTGTTCTCAGGCAGACAGAGCGGTTGAGTCCATCGGGAGTTTGCAAAATCCAAAGGCAAAGTCAAGTGTATTGAAGTACATCAGGGTTTTATATGGGGAGAGAGGGCTGCATGAGCTGCATCTTAAGGGACGGGCAGGATTGCAGAGAGGAGGGGAGCAAGGAATGGCCTAGACCCGTGGTCAGCAAACCGCGGCTTTCGAGTCACATGTGGCTCTTTGGCCCCTTGAGTGTGGCTCTTCCACAAAATTATCACGTGCGGGCATGCACGTACAGTGCGATTGAAACTTCGTGGCCCATGCGCAGAAGTTGGTATTTTGTGGAAGAGCCACACTCAAGGGGCCAAAGAGCCGCATGTGGCTCGTGAGCCGCAGTTTGCTGAGCCGCAGTTTGCCGACCACTGGCCTAGACAGAGACAAGGAGCAGAGGCAAGTGGACCAGAGTCAGCTGGCCAGTCGGACTGTCACGCAGGGGTGCAGGAGGGGACCTGAAGGTGGCAGGTGAGACCGAAGCATCTGAGGAATGAGACCGTGGGGTCTCCATCCAGGGGCTGCAGACCCCGAATTGGAGAGCTGCTGGTGTAGACCAGCGAGACTGTTCGTGGGAGCAGGTTAGATGAGAACCTGTTGTGTTCCTGGCAAGAGATAGGGATTAGGTGTGAGCAGTGAAGATAAAACCAAGAAAGTAAAGCCAGAGAGAGATTTTAGAAGTAAAACGGGGAGAACTTGGCTTTTCCTCAGTTGTGGCATCAGGGAGAAAGTCGGGTGTCTGGTGACAAAGGTTTTAGGAGAAGTTAGGCTGCAGTTACCACCCATAGTCAGGGCAGGCGATGGGTTTAAATCACTGTAGGGAAGTCCTAGGCAGATGAGGCGAGGGCCCCATGAGAGACACAGAGCAGGAGAGGTGGCCCAGAGGAGGAAAAGCTGCCATCCAGCTGGGGGAATGTGGAGGCCCTGCCGTGGGAGTGATGGCTGAGAGGCGTCCTGAAGGCCGGGGTGACCTTTCCCAGGATGTGATGTGATGTGATGGGCCAGGCTGGTTCTCCCAGGAAGGGTCGGCCCCAGTGCGAGCGGAGATATAAAAAGGGGGGTTTGCCTGCGCCCTGAGCCCTTGGGAGAGGAGGCCTGGGAGGGCAGGCTGGGTCCCAGGGAAGTGGCCTGAATGCCAGGCCCAGGTGTTGACCTAATTGAGCAGGCCATGGGGAGCCACGGCAGGTTGTAAACTTCCCGCTTGGTTCCACCAGAGCTTTCAAAGGGAAGAATGCATTCCTTTCGGTGGGGGAGGGCAGATGGGATGAATGGCTGTGTTTGATCTGAGAGAGTAACCGAATTTGTCAAATGGCATTTCTGCAGCGGAGGAAAGAACAAAGTTAAGTACACAAGGGCGCTCCACAGGTGTGCGGCTGTGCACAGGCATGCACGCGGCCATTTGTCATTGGTGCGGGCCCACCCCTCGGGGAGGCCGGGGCCCAGGCGGAGGCTGCGGAGTGAGCACAATAGCAGAGGGTACCTGTGGACGTGTCCTTCTTTCAAAGAAGGAAGCGGAGGTTCAATGGAGCACTTTTTGATCTTCACTTAATCTTTCTTTATTTTATTCTGTGGCCTCATGCCTCTTATTAGCTTTTCAAAATTAGGATGGGGCTGCTACTGCCGCTCAGTGCCCAGATGCACACACAGAGCTAAAGCTAAGCCATGTGGTGTCTTTGTGTTTCCACAGCATAAAACTGAATATGTGGAGCCTTGTTGCTTACCATAGTCTGGAGTCAATTCAGTGGATGGCTAAACAGGCAACAGTAAATTAACCAGTTAACACATGAAAAATAAGAACTTCCCTTCTCTGAGGTTTCTCACGAGCATCTGCAGAGCTAAAGAATTTCCAGGAGATGGTCGTGCTTCCCTTCCTCAGCTCTGAAAATGCTGAGTTGTCGCACTTTCATCATTTGAGATAGTTTTGAGGGGTACCTTTTGGGGGTTAGTGTTTCATCGATGCAGAGTTATTAAGTTGGAGGTGATCTTTATGTAAGTGGTATATTAGAATCAGGGAGGTTTTCTGCCTAAACATCGCCCACAAACCCCCGCCCACAGTATTTGCAGGAGCCCTGGAGAGCCTCACCAGATCATACAGCCCAGGGCCCCTTCTGACGCCCCCTCTGGAGCCCAGAGGGGAGTGGTGCGCCTCTGTGCCCTCCTTGGTGCTGGGAAGGGTGGAGGCAGCTGGCCCCATAGCTTGAGCCTCCCCAGATCCCACCACTTGAGCCTCCCCAGACCCCACAAACTCTAGAATCACTCACTGCCTGTCGGTGTCTCAGGAACCGATTGCCCTGGGCTCCCTGTCTGGGAATTACTCCTCCAGACTTCATCTCTCCATCGCAGACAAGGCGTCGCTGGTGAATGTTTAACAAGCCCTGTAAATGCTCCCTCCAGCGTTGGAGGGGAGCTGGGAAGAGATGTGAGTAATCGGCTCTAATCCCATGGGAGCTGGCTCACCACGCGTCCTAGGGGCCTGGGTTTCAGTAGGTCGGGACCCCAGCCGGGACACCAGCTGGTCAGCTGCTCAGCTGTTATCTTCCCGAGTTCCCTTGAGGCCTGTTAGCTGTCCTGGCCTCTTTGGCTCCCAAGGCTCCATCAGGGAACCTCCATATGAGCAGGTGGCTCTGACTTGGTTTGCTGGTGGTGGTGGTGGACAGAAAGGCCAGGCACAGTCCCTTCCTAGCTCTGCTTTTGATGGGATGATGGCCTGGACACTCATCTGCCTTATCCCTGATGGTTAAAAACATGTAAATACTTAGAAAGAATCCTATATAATAAAACCCCAATATGCAAATAGACTGAAATGACCAGTCGCTATGACGTGCACTGACCACCAGGGCACAGATGCTCAACACAAGAGCTGTCCCCCTGGGGGTCAGTGCACTCCCATAGGGCTCGCTGCTCCTAGTGCTGCCACGGAGGTGGGAGAGGCTCCCGCCTCGCTGCTGCGCTCGAGGTCCCGGAGTGCGAGAGGGCACAGGCCAGGCTGAGGGACTCCCCCACCCCGCCCCCCTGCCTCCAGTGCATGAATGTCATGCACCAGGCCTCTAGTTTTTAATAAAAGTGAGTCTGGTAGGGAAGAAGAACGTTAATGAAAAAAGAGCTATCCCAGGACCCTACAGCGTTTACGTGGCAACCCTAAATGTGCCTTAAAATAGTCTAAGTTATAATGGAGAGAATGTTAGAAAAGTAATCAGGAACCCCCAGCCCTGAAAACGACAACTTGGAGTGGGAAGCAGTAGAAGGGAGACGGGGGAAGGGAGGCGAATGAGGACGTCTGGCGACGCTGGAAGCAGGATGCTCAATGACCTTTGCTGCCGTCTGTTTTCGTAGGATTTGGCCCTGGAAGAAGCTGTTCTGGAGGAGCTGACACAGAAGGTGGCCCAAGAGCACAAAGCCCACAGGTAAGGCAGGAGGCTGTTGGCTGGGCCCAGTGCCAGCCGCCGTCCTGTCCACGGCAGGAGGCTTTTGGCCCCTACCCCACCCCTGGCCTGAGTCCACAAGTTTTATGTCTTCCAGCCTAAGTCAGCTCTGCTCCCAGAGGTGTGTGTAGACTGGGCTACTTGTCCTCCCTACCTCTCTTTCCCCCTCCCTCTCTCTTCCTCCCTCCCTCTCTCTTCGCCCCTCCCTCCCCTTTGTTTTCTTATCTCTTTCTCCTTTTTTTCAAAAAATATATTTGATTTCAGAAAGTAAGGGAGAGGGAGAGAGAGATAGAAACATCGATGATGAGAGGGAATCATTGATCCGCTGCCTCCTGCACGCTCCTACTGAGGCCAGGCATGTGCTCTAACAGGGAATAGAACCGTGAACTCCTGGTTCACAGGTCGATGCTCAGCCACTGAGCCCCCCGGATTCCCCCCCCCCCCCCCTTTGCTTCCATGCCAGCAAGCCTGCATAGATGTGGAGTTGGTGGCCTGGAGAGTTCCTCCCTGGAGCCTTCCTAAAAAAAAAAACAAAACAAAAAACAAACCTGTTGCCCGGCCTGGGAAGCCTGGTGCTGGCCGTACTAGGAGTGAAGATGGAAGAGAGCTCCTTTGGGTGGGAAAGTCAACATCACAGGGGAGAGGAGGGCGCCTCTAAAGTGAGGAGGTCCTGAGCGCTTGGGGCGCTTTGGGAACGATGGAAAACCGTGTCCTTCCCTCCGACCTCAGAGGACCCAGGCTGGGGTCCTAGGGTCTCTCCTCTTGGTCGCTTGGTTCTTAAAATGCCATCCTCATAAACTTTTTTAAAAAAGTATATCTTTATTGATTTCAGAGAGGAAGGGAGAGGGAAAGAGAGAGATAGAAACATCAATGATGAGAGAGTATCATTGAT